GAAACCTCCTTGTGATTGACAGCATATGATTCTCTTAAATAATTGGTTTATTCAAGCTATCCTTGTGTTGATACCCCATTTTCGCTCGAGAAAGAAATACATGGCGAGCTCATAGATTAAACAAATTTCTTGTGATAAGGTAACGAGCTAAAACAAGCAAGTTAAACCTCGTTACCTTCATAAGACAAGATAATTTCTTTAAACTATTCAAAATAATAATAATAGAAGTTACAATAAAAAAATAAATGGCATGAGATAGTATTGACAAAGGTTTTAAATTCCATTCCAGTTAATGATAATATACGTTATAAATCTATACCTAGATTATGATTATAATAATATTTAATAAAACAAATCAAAATAAATTATGAAATTTAATTATTAATAAACATGTTGTTATATGATAAAATTAAAAAAATAAACTAAAATAAAAACACAAAAAATAAACTTTTAAAATAAAATTATGAAAATACTATTGATAATTTCACAAGACTTTTTTAAATTTTAATTACCCTAAAATTTTAACTTGAAATATAACAATATATCAGGAGACTTGTAAAATATTAGGCTAATATAATTATTGGATTGAGGGTTATAATTAATATTATAAAAATAGATGATATTTAAAAAAACAAAAAAAGTTATTTGATTAGAACAAAATGAAACATTCTGAATAGAATTTAAATGAAATTTACGAAACAGGTTAAAATTTTAAATGAGATAAAATCTATCCAAGTTTATTTTATTCTTTAAATTATAGCAAGACATATCAACTATTCTGGGACGAAACGTAATAAAGTTATTTAGGAAGTCATTTGCTTATATATTTATATATTACCACCGTCCACCATATCAATCTAACAAATTATATTTATTTTTTATATATCATCATCAAGGCGTAGGATAGTGTCACTTAATCTGTAGCTGGTACTGGCCAGCACTCTATTTCCATTTTAACATTAAAAAACTCTATTAATCCTCATAATTAATTACTAAGAGAGTTGAACCTCTCAACAGCTTGATTTGGACATCAATTATACAGATGAGGGGGTGATTGGTTTTGATTTTTAAACTTAAATGCGCTGACTAAATTTATCCTTCTGAGCTGGGATGTACATGAAAGTCTGGCTTCAAATCTCGATTCAAGCTATGAGATGACGTGTGAGTCCCACGTCTTTCACCGCTGTCTTTCTCGGTTCTCCCAGCAATGAAAAAATCTGTGCATGGGTTGTGTACCCAGAGCCGCCCACGAACTTAATTCTCAGCCAAGCATTATTTAAAGATGATCCTGAAATTGAAGTTGCTTCCCACCGTCCTCCGTTTGCGTGATAATAAGTGGACCGACCACCGACGTCATTGATGCTTCCACTAATGGATATTGTTTATCGAGAGGGCCCACCACTACAAAGGCCCACACTTGAGGTCCAGGGCCCACTAGCCCCTTGCATCCATCGGCCTTCCATGGGCTAATAAGTTGGGCGTGAATCTATTGCCAGCCTGCCAAGTTATGTAGAGAAAATCTGCATGGCTGTTTCCCTTTCTTAAAGAGGTCCGGTGCCAGGTGGAATTTTTCTTTAAAAGGAACCGTTGGTCCGGTGCCAGGTGGAATTTTTCCTTAAAAGGAACCGTTGGTCCGGTGCCAGGTGGAATTTTTCCTTAAAAGGAACCGTTAGTCAGCAGACGGATAACAGGATAAAATCTTACATTTTTTTTTTCCCGAATCGAGGCGAGGAAAATTTTAAGAATTAAACAAGTTTTTTATTGTGTAAATCACGTCCGATTTGGGTCTGAATCCCTTTTTAGTCCTGCACCTCTCAATTTGTTCTTTCAAGCATTTAATTCTAGATGATCATCCGATTATCCATGCATAAAATCTTATAGCTTTAGATAAATGTGATTATTTTTAATTTAATTTGAGTTTTATAAAAAAATAACTAAATTAATTTAAAAAAAAAATTAAAATCGATTTTGGTTTAACTTGGTTTTTTTATTTTGAGTTAAAATTTTTTAAATTTCAAACTTTTCAAGTGAAAATTAAAGAGTTTGAATTTTAAAAAAAAATTAATTATTTTTTTATAATTTTTTTTTTAAAAAAAATTTCTTCTCCGGCAAAGGTGTTCTGTCTATAAAAAATAGTCTTGGAGGTGTTGGATAAGGCATGGAGTCACTTTTCATGTCAGTTTTTCTTGTCATGCCTTGCATGTGCCCTGCACGTGCAAATATTCAGAACAAATTTTTACATTATATCCCGTGGTAAATATTTATTATTTTTTTTTAAAAAAAGAGATTCATGTTTTGTGATGGAGTATTTTTTTTTTTTCAACTTATTTAATTTTTTTACTAGTTTTGTGATTGAAAGTTGCCTTCTCGAATCAAGTTATCATAAATTCAGTCATTGATAAATTTGATACGAGTTTCAATAAAAAAAATATAATTAAATATTTTAAAAAAAATTAATGTTCATTAAAAATAAATAAAACATAAATAAAAACCCCTTTATATCAATAAAAACACTAATTAAAACTAAGTTAACAAAAAATATTTAATTAAAATCATAGTTTGGATTTTGTGTCTGAAATAACCTGATTACAAATAAAAATAATTATAAATACTTTTAAAAAATATATATTAATTTTTAAAATTTTTAACTCCAGTTATTAAACTCAAAACACCCAAACTAGAAAAATTTAAAAGTTTAATTTTTTTATTGGTTTTTTTATTATATTATTAGTAGCATTGCTGCTATCATTAATTATATTATTACCATCATTATTATTATTGTTATTGTTAATTTAATTATTGTCATTATCAGTGATATTATTATTTTTATTATTATTTTTGTTATTATTATTATTGTTATTACTATTATTATCATCAATAATATCAACATCATCGTTGTTATCATTACTATCACCACCATCATCATTATTATTATCATTATAATAATAACTTCCATTATAATTATTGTTGTTTGTCAAGCACCGTCATTATTATTAATGATACCATGACAACTATTATAATTATTATTGTTGTTGCTATTATAGAAAAAAACAATGATAGAATTGAAAATTATAAGAATCTCGACAAAAAAATAAATGAAAACAATAAAAAAATCAAACAAAAAAGGACCACTCTGAAATTATTTTTATCATCTAAAAAAAATCACAAACTTGATTTGAAAAAAAAAATAAAAACCATAAAATATTTTAAAAAAGACAAGGAAAAAAGATAAGAGATAAGAAATATAAGAACCAAATTGAAACATCACACACACATACACACACACATAAATTAAATACCAAGAGTTAAATTAAAAATAAACAAAACTTCTAGATAAAATGAATAAAAAACAGTAATCAAAATTAAAATATATGAATTTGAAGTAATTGCAACAATAAGGAACATGATGTTTTTACCATGATAGGCGAGAGAAATGAAAAAAATGACACACTAATCATGTTTAAAGAACATACACCATCTGTAATAAAATAGGAGTTAATGATGAATAAATTAGGATGATAAAAAACAGTAATCAAAATTAAAATATATGAATTTGAAGTAATTGCAACAATAAGGAACATGATGTTTTTACCATGATAGGCGAAATAAAATTAACCAATGACACACTAATCATGTTTAAAGAACATACACCATCTGTAATAAAATAGGAGTTAATAATGAATAAATTAGGATGAAGAAAACTTATTTTGATCGTTGCATGTTGCACTCAAAATATGTAGTGATTCTAACATACTAGCGCATACAACACACACATAACTTTTCAAATATAACATTATTAATTTAATGACAAGTTATATTATTATCCTCAACTAAATTTATAATTAAAAAAAAAACTAAAGCTAAAATATCCAAATACCCTTTACATCCAATAAATTCAATGTATTTCCTCCATAGTTCAAATAGCAAAAGACAAATTAGCAACTATCACTATACGATAAAAACATCAAAATAACCCTAGTTCAAGTACTTGTATATTTCTATGGATTGAACAAAATGGTCATTATAATATAAGGGTGAATAATAAAAAGTGAATATTCCTCGTGTTTTAGGGGTTTGTTAATGTATATTTTTTATTATTTCATATCAAATACTTGTGGTGCCTCAAGTGGCTGAGACACACGTGCAGGGATGAAGATCACGGGTTTGAGTCCGCCATTTTAATAAACCAAAAAATAAACAAAGAAGGTACACGTGCTCGGGCCGTCGCTGGCCCACATTTCCCCCCAAAGAACAGGTGTTGCAGTTAAGAATCAAACCACGTAATATTTATTGTTTACGTAAAAGGAAAGGGTTCTCTAATCTCTAATCTCTAATCCATTGATCTGAAATGGAAGCTTTATGCTATTCGCAATCAAGATTGCCAAAAAGAAGATTGGTGCCTCTCTCTCTTCAGTGCACTCAAGGTAATTGCCACATCACTGGATTGGAGAATCGTGGGGCAACTATCAAGAAAAAAGAAAAAGAAAAAGAAAAAGAAAAAAGAAACATGTCATTCGTGATAAAGTGAGAAAACAAAGAACAGAAAGTCTGAATTCCGAATATAATCATGATTTATAATAATAGTAATCTAAAGTAAAAAATAGATTACAATTATTATTATAAACTATTTTACATAGGAAAAAATTGTGATAATCTAATAAAAAAATAGATTACAAACTATCTTAATTTTTACACTCAAACATTGAAAAACAATATTATATATGTGTATCTTTTCAAAATTAAAAGAAAAGAAAAATCAATTAACTGGTAAGTATGTAAAGATGGTAATATAAACTATACAATTACAAATGATTTTTTTTATATATATATTTGGCATTCGCATATAAAATATAAATACATTATTTTAATATTCTTTAAATTATTTTAATAATCATAAATTGTTTTTTTAATTAAAAAAATAATTTCATTTGAAAAACTTGTATTCATTAAATTAAATAAAAAAACACAATAATATCATGAAAAAAAGAGAGCCGTTCAACTCGCTTTTCTAATCCATCAAAGATTCAAAATGTTTCCAAAATTCAAGCGGGGGCCTCTTTCAAGCTCACCGAACCCAAAGGCACAAACACACGCTCCTAATACAATTGACTTCGGAAAAACCTGTTCGTCCTGGCCTTGGATTTTTCTCTCCATTACAGAAAACCTTTTAGCACCGCCGCAACACAAATCGAAATTGTTGACAAAAACATGCTCGCAGGTCTCTGTCTCTCGAACTTTTTGGTTTTCATTTGATTAACTTATAATGCACATTAACCGTTCGCTGAATCTCCTCAGAGAGATGATATGTTTCATTACGAAGTGAAAGATTCTTTTTCTATATCATGACATCAACTAGGTTGTTAACCTTCGTTGATAAATGGAAAGGAAGTTAGGCTGGAGGCATAATTTAAAATTTCACCGTGCCTTGTGCTTCAAGATGATGCAAGTCTGAACTATCCATCCATCATACTAGTTTAAAGCACAACATTCATTTGGTTTTTAATGAACTGAGCATTGTAACTGCATTTTTTTTTTTGGAATAAAGATTACTCTTCCGGTTTTTCAATGATCTTTGGTCTTTATTGACAGGGTTGACTACCGGAGGTCACTTGCAGCTAAAATTTGTCAACTTGCAAAGAAGCCATGTTCATGGTAGTTTCTGTCCTCTGTTATTTTAGAATATAGCATTCCTTTGTTTCCGCCCGTTCCCATTAGAACCCCATTTACCACAACAGACAACAGATTAAACCCCAATCCATGTCTCCGGTGCATTATATATGCAAGATAAATACCTCTTATGCATGTTCTTTTTGAATGTCTAGATGAGATTTTGATATTGTATATTTAAAGAGTCGAGAATGCTGAGTATTTGCAGATCTGGTTGGGAGTGAACTGAACTTCTCGATAATTACATCCCATTCAAGGAGTAAGGTTAATTGCATTTCCACCCCACCAAAGAAAGCCGCCTTTACTCATGAAGAACATGAAAAGAAGTGTCCTTTAGTTAAAATGTGCGGGATTACCTCAGTTCGAGATGCTTTGATGGCAGCTGAAGTTGGTGCTAATTTTATTGGGATGATTCTTTCGCCCAACTCAAAACGTTCCATTTCACTTTCAGTTGCAAAGGAAATTTCGAAAGTTGCAAGAGAATATGAAGCAGCACCGGTAGGGGTGTTTGTGGATGATGATGCAGACACAATATTGAGAGCCGCGGATGCAGCAGACCTTGAATTCGTGCAGGTATATGTTTTGGACTCTTGACTACTTCACATGTAGTATATCATTTTTGTTTCTGACTCTGATATTCTATTATTCAGCTTCACGGGAAAGGTTCTCGGGCAGCTTTTCGGTATTTAATGGGAAAAAATCGAATCGTGTATGTTCTCCATGCAAATGAGAATGGAAACCTTCTAAATCAAATTTCAGATGAAGAATGTTCCTTGGTTGATTGGATTCTCGTGGATAGCACAACAGGTGGCAGGTAAGAAAATGATTTACCTTCATGTATAGCACATCCATCATCTCCATTTTGTCAGTTTGTATATTCCGTTGCCCATCAATATTGAGGTTTAAAAATATAGAATTCAGGTACTAATCGATTTGATGCATTATATTCAATGAACTCCACGCTTAGGAACTGAATAGTTTTTCACGGTCCACCGTGAGCAAAACCTAGTAGATTGTGTGCAGGATGATCAATAAAACCTCAATTTGCATCTAGACCTCTCAATTTGCCTAAATTTTTTTATTTATAGATCCTGCATATATGTAACTCACACTTCCACTATCGTTTTCTTTGGCATTGCCAATCTTGTTTAAGATTTCTTCCTTGAATAAACTTGCGATCCTGTTTGTAGTGGCAAAGGATTTAACTGGACGGGGTTTGAATTACCACCAATCAAAAGCAAGAATGGATGGCTCTTGGCTGGAGGGATTAAGCCTGAAAACGTTAGTGAAGCTCTCTCTCTCCTCAAACCTCACGGTGTTGATGTCAGTAGTGGTATTTGCGGCTCGGATGGCATTAATAAGGATCAATCACGAATAGCGTCCTTTATGAATGCCGTACATTCTGTACGCTATTGATTGACCACAAGGAAAAAGAAACCACTCCTGACCGCGTCACTTGGAACCTGATCTCCAATATGCCGGTATTACTATCATCTCATTCTATGGAGTTATCTAGTTGAATATGGATGTAGCCCGGGTCGGGTCTGAGATGGAAATCCAAGCTTTTAAACTACGAGGCAGCTCCTCGAAGTGTATTTTAATGTATTATTCAAACATTTCAGAATGAATATCTAAAAAGGCGCTAATGATGTCTCAAACGTAATAAACAATGACACCAATTATTTTTTTTTAAAATATTTTTTGTTTGAAAAAATATAAAAATAGTATATATTTTTTTTTAAAAAATATATTTTTAACATTAATACAACACATCAAAATAATTTAAAATCATTAAAAAATTAAATTTTAATAAAAACCAAGTTAAAAATCACTCCCAAAACATTAATGATGGCAAGAATGGTTGTCATTCCTTTAACAATGTAGTTCTTTTTTTTTGGTCCATCTCAATATCAGAAATTCCTTTCCTGAGGTGGTAGTCAGTCCATGATGGCATAACCCTCTAGTTTTGAAAATTAGTCAAAACCTCAATATTGATCACACAAGACCCTATATTTTCATTTATTGATCATCCAGGGTCCTCTATCTATGCCCATTAACAACTCGAACTAAATCTAAGAAAGACGAAGAAAAAAAGAAATTTTCTTCTTCTTTTTTTTTTTTTAAAAAGCAAATGAACTAGATAATTAATCCGAGCACTGAACTCCTTACAAATTCTCGACCGAACTTAACCAAATTCTCAACCTCAAATCCCCCCCCGCATTCCGCACATCAGGCGTTTCCTCCAAAAGTTTCGTTGTAGTTTTTGTCACGAAGTCATCGATCTCAATACCACAAAACTTTGATTTCCACTTGATAAGTTCCACCCCCTCTCTCTCTTCATCATTGTCATTACGAGCTTTAGTTTTGCCTTTCTTCTTTTCTTTTCTTTATTTAATAGCTAATGCTTCCCTGTTGCAAGGGTGATTCCCTTTTTTATTTTTTATTTTTATTATTTTAGAAAATCGTACTTTTTTTTTTCAAATATAACAAAAAAAAAATATATTATTTTAGAAAATCGTACTTTTTTTTTCAAATATAACAAATTTTTTTTTCTAAATGTCATGATATTTGAAGTAATAATATTTTCTGAAAATTTGGTGATATTTATTATATTTATCATAAAAAACACAATCTTTTGGTAATTATTATGATTAGTTTTTTAGATCTCTTGAATTTAATTTATTATCTGTGTTTTTCATCCATTTTAATAAGATTTTTTGACAATGATCATAAATATTGTAGTTCACATACATTCAAAAACACACACATAATTTTCCGACAATTAATATACATATTGATTTGTTGAAAATAAATTTGTTGTTTTATGTTTTCATGCGACTTTATTTAATGATATTTTTATCTATTCAACAAACAAATTTTTACTTTATATATATATATATTGAATGTATGTTTATTATTTTATATTTTTGTGTGTTTTTCCTTTATTTTTATAAGATTTTATTATAAATTGATAATATATATAAAAACAAAGCCCGCATACTACATACACAACCGCATAGACCGATCAACATAAAAAATAAGAGAAGAGAGAAGCCAAAGATGTCGATTTTCTATTACAATGACGTCACAAATATAGTAAACTTCTTGCGTCCATGTTGCAGTGGCTGAGATTTACCATCGGCGACACCTCTTATCAAATAAGAAAGAGAAGAAAAGAAAAAAAGAAGAAGCGTGGCAGAATGAATGGATGTCCCAATGGCTGAGGACAATGCTGCCTAATTGTCAGAAGTTAAATGACTTGATATTATAGAATCCTGGCTTGGTAGGCTTCCCTTGCGATGCCCAGAAGCTTTGGTTTCTTCACTCTGTTTTCTCTGGTCCACAGAGCTCGGGGTCTGTTTGATAATACAAAACATCTCCAGTATTGCTAACATAGTGATCTTGTTTCATGCTTCTTACAAGTGTTCCCAACAAGTAAAATGGAAGAGGTTCAGATTTCCTTGGTTCGCGGTAATACTTCCCGAGTACAGGCTTAGCTGCTTCTGTCTGTAAAAGATCAAAATGAACAATCATTACAAGCAGAAGAAAGTGGACCACTAAAGAAACACAACAACAATTAAGGTGCAAACCATAACGCCACTTACTGCTTCGACTAAGTGGTAGTGTGGGATTTGAGGGAAGAGGTGGTGAATCACATGGGTCCCAATATCATGGTGGATGTTGTTGATCCATCCATAGTCACGGTCTAGTGTTGTAAGGCCTCCCCTCAGATAGCTCCATTCCTATTGACAGCCAGAAAGTATTATATGTTAGCTCAGATAATTTAACCCCACTGAACTTGTATGTCTCGTGGAAAAATGCACAATTTGATAGGAGAAGAAAAATGACCAGATGTTGATAAGAAATGTAAGACCAAAGGCTAAGAAGATTCGTCTTCCTACCTTTCCACGATACCAAGGAAGTTTCTCATCATGACCATGGTGATGCAAGTAAGTGACCAGGTCCAACCACATAACAAAAATCTGCATTTAGAGGCAAATCCAAAAGTATGAACATAAACACTAAAGAACAATTGACTTGTAGCAATTCTAACAAATGGCAACGGGATACGTAAAACCCAAGAGCTAAACCTACCCAGTAGGGAATGCCATAGAGTTTAAGCACTTGGAGAGGACCCATTACAAAGGATAAACAAACAAGCAATGCTGCCATTGCAGTCCAACAGGCGGTTGAGGTAATAACATCTTTCCTCTCATTTGGGACAAACAAATCACTGTCTGGATGGAAATGAGAGCCCTTCTTTCCTGGACTTCTACTCCACTGTATGGTCATTGAAATCCGCATCACATAACAGTCATCAATCTATTAAAAAAAATATCTCCTGAAGTTAATTACTGGATTTGGCTAACCAAGACGCAAAAGGCTTACCAGATAGACAGGGTAGGCAAGCATAGGGAAAGGCAAAGTGAATCTCAATTTTCTTGTGACATTATCCAAACTCCTGTAAATTTTCTCAGGCAACTACAATAACAAATAGTATAAATCAATAAGTTCCGAGTTTGAAAGAATTGAAACAATATTACTTGAAACTAAGAGGTCAATATTCACAAAAACTCACTGGATGCCAAGATTCATCATTCTCAACATGTCCATGGTTTTGATGGTGGGTTCTGTGGCTAATTCTCCTGAAATAATTATCAAAATTGCAAGTATACATGAGTATATCAGATTGTATTGCATAGGTAAATACTAAATTGCTAAAAACTAAACAGGACACCGAAATACTGAAATTTAGCAGTTATCGCAGCAACATACCATCCATGATAAGGAACAAGGATTGAAGAATGAAGGAGATGACCCGCTACACTATTAAGCTTTGGATTATTTGAGAAGCTCCCATGACCACTGCAAAATTATAGAGAAACGCAATCAATGTTAGAAACAAATAAATAGGCACCTCAAATGCAGCACTTGAACAAAAGGAAAGCTGCAAATCCAGTGTTAGAAAAATAAAATAAAATGGCCATAACATTTCCTACAGAATGCAATAAAATTTCAAGCTCAATAAACGAAAAAACATATGAATTTACCAATCATGGCCAAGAACAAAGAGGGCCCAGAACATGGTCCCCTGAGCAAACCAGTAAAGAGGCCAAACAACCCAATTGTTGAAGTAAGCAGCAATAGCAGCCAATCCAAAAACCACAACAACATCTCTCACAACATAGCTCATAGATCTCCATGGATCTTTAACCCAACAATGCTTAGGTATAGCAGCTCTTATATCAGATAATTTGAAAGGTGGTGGTGCACCAGGGTCAAAAAATCCACCTTCCTGTTCATTAACACCATTAACGTTTTCTCTTTCTTTGTCTTCCTCTTCACATACTGGAACACTAACCGGAACAGCAACATTTAACGCCCAGTTTATTTGTCTAGAACAACTTGAGACCTTGAAAGGAGAACCAAGATCGCAACTTTTGGAGTCTCGTGGCTGTCTAAGCTTTAAAAGGTTTGTAAGTTTTGATGTTAAGCCGGTTCTGCTTTGAGGATAGATTCTAGGAAGGGGTCTTAGGCCACATTCTGATAAAACCCAGCTAGCCATTGACCAAGAAGCAGAAAATGCAAGCGTATTCAGTTCTTGCTATCTCAGTGCACGTAAGAAAATAGAAGAATTGAAGCCTATATAAAAAGTGAAGAAAAGATACAAAATTTGCAAAGTAGATGAAGGGATAACACAAGGGCTTCTCTCCTCCACTGCCAGCAATAAAATTCTCAAAAAATAAAATAAAATAAAATTCTCAACTTGTGCTTCTTGTTGCTTGTCCTCTCTCTGTTTTTAGTGTGTACATGTATATATGTATATATATACTTGTGAGAATGTAATCGTGTTGCTGTCCTGTGCTTCTCTCGCAAAAGCTCCAGGGCGGTATGTTTTTGTATTTTTTTTAAAAATTAATTTTTTATATTTTCAGATTATTTTGATGTATTAATATTAATAATATTTTAAAAAAATATTATTTTAATATATTTTCAAATAAAAAACGCTATGAAAAATAATTATTACCACATTTCTATAACTTTTTTTTATATTTTAAAATTATTTTGATGTGTTAATATTAAAAATATATATATATATATATATATATGTTAAAAATATAATTTTAATGTATTTTTAAATAAAAAATATTTTAAAATTAAATATTATTACATTTTTAAATATCTTTTTATACGGACTATAGATGAAGTGTAAAATATTGTTTATTAAAAATATATTAAAATAATTTTTTATATAAATATATTGAAATCATAAAAAATATATAATATATGAACAGAAATCACCGCACGTTCTAGTTAGGTTTTAGTTTTTTTTTTTTTTTTCCTTAATAGATTTTGGACTATACGACGAACACATTCCTCCCCATCTTCGAATTCCGAATCATCCCCGCAAGATTTGAATCGAGATATCCTATTACCTCAGCTGCCTCTAATTGGGTACTTGGGAAATGTGTAGTGGTGTGTGATATTGACCCACCGTGTGGTTTTCTTTTCTTCCCGTGGAGAGTGGAACATCACTAGCGTGAAAGGAGAAGCCAGACTGACGTGGTCAAATCTTGAAGGTTGATAATACATGGCTAGTTGTGTCAAGGTCGTCATCTTACGAGTCAACTCATCTATTCTCATTTTCAGTAGCTTTCCAACGTTAATGAAGTCCTTTCCGTGTTTCGTTCTGTCATATACTTCACGCCATGGCTTTTCTCTGGCCCGTCTAGGGAAAGAACCCGCAGGCCACTGTTCGATTATGAAGAGTTTGCTAATAATATGTGTGTCTTCATTACACTTTCAGTTTGTTCTTGCTTCTCCGACCAGTTGGGTCAAGCAAACTTTTGATGCTGCACATGCCTTAGGTAGGGAAGGCCGATAGAAGAAAAGAGAAGATTGTTATTTTTTCAAGCAACTCAAAGTTTGGAACTATTGGCGTTGTTGTATAAATGAAACTCGTCGAGTGGCTAGAAATAAATATAATTAAAAAACAAAATTCGTGTTGGAGATATCTTTATAATTTTTAATGGGTGATAGATTTTATCTTCTTGATATCACCGGATGCTCCTGCACCATGATTTTTTCCATCATAATTGCTGGTTCTAAAAACGACTATATATAATTAAAATCCTATATAATAATATCCTTTCTATTTTAACCAAAACAGGTTTATATATAAACAAATTAGATACGCAAACCCAATAACGCCCATGTTTACACTGTCTGCATGAAGACGCGGGGCCGACAACTAATATCCTACTAAATGTATGAGACACTAATGTACAAGTGTTCTTTTATTACCAAATTGAAAGACTCCAGATTTGGAATTTTGGACTCATTTTAATAAAGGTTTAATGACATCTTTTACCCCTAAATTATTGGGATTGTGACAAAATAAGGCATAGATTAACAATTTGATCTGTTATATCCTCAAAACTACTATTTATCAAGCAAGTTGAAACCCGCGACCAAATTACTATTAAAACCAGACGTCAAACTATGAAGCAATATATTTCTTTCGTCTCTTTCTAATTTTTCTAATTTGTTGTTTTAGGATACTTAACAGTGAAAACTTTATTTTACCACAACCTCAATAATTTAAAGGGTAAAATATGATATTAAACGGGTTCAGACCACCCTACAAAAATAATTTACCATTCCTTTCCCGCTCATGAGTTTGCCCCCAGGATCCCATTTTGGCAACAGGCAAGGGGTCCCAACGAGCACCAAAAACCACTCGAGTAATTAATCAAATATAATATGGGAACTCCGATGGAACAAAACGTTCCCAACTTTATTATTTATTCTTTTAATACGGAAACGTGGATCCCTAATGGTCGAAGAGGCGCGGCGCAGACTTTAACCGTGTTAAAATGTCAAGAGTAGGGTTATTGATATAATAATACTTCGTCATCAACTTGCTCATTCCAGCCGATGACAAGAACATACGGTGTGAAAAGAAAAAAAACAAAATATATAAACGAGTTGCTTTGACTACTCATAATATACACGAATGGAGGACATCTAAACGATTAAAGAATCAATCATCAAAATATGCAAAGAAGAAACCTGGTACTGATGGTGCCATTCGAAAACGTTAATAGTTGGTTCAGGATATGCACGGTCAACGATGCGCTTTCGGGGAAGCCACCATCATATGTTCCACCATTTGCGTTTCTCCATTTGCTTGGCAAGCTCATTTGCCATTGATGCAAAGTTTTCGGCCCCACTTTGCAGCTCCGCTGTACGCTCACTGAGCCTCTGTTGTGAATAATATAAACGAGGAGAAAAGAAAAGTTAGGCCAAAGCTAATCAATACAAGAATTTCTCCAGCGTGTATTTTTACAATTTGAAGAGAGTCGATCAATATGTGGTTTGATTTAATAGGCCTCCTTAAGCTACAAAATCCGCAAGTTCATAACTGCATGTTTCTAATTGTCTTGTTGTGCTATTCCTGATGTAATTCTTTAAATGCCGTCAAAGCAATAGATTAAACTTTGAAATTAAAACTAAATATCCCCAGAACAAAGTAATTTAACCAGAAATTTTACCTGTAATACCAAATCCTCACAGTCGCATAATTAGTTAGGAAAAAAGAAAAGAAAGGCATGCATTTAAATCCATTATCTTACCTAAAATCAATTTAATAACAACTGTCTTAACATTCAATGAGAGACTACTAAAAAATAAATAAATGCTGACCTCGATGTATGAAGTTTCCAAGAATTTAGTTCGAATAGGAGATACCATTTAGTAAGGTTAAGATTGCAGCCACTACCAGATGGTTATCAAAAAGGGTAGCACTAATCAACTGTATTACAGGTATCGTTTTATTAGTTTAGGTGCAACGGGGGCCATAACAATTCATGGATAGTTCTTAAAGGGGGCCCCAAGTTGTCAGGTCAAGGGGTCCCCAGTTGTTAATCTGAGTTTGGTATATAATGAATTGCTGTCGAGATTGCAACCTTATAACGAGGGCATAGTTTCAAAATATTGAGCCTTAAAGGCAACAAAAACTTCTTCCAGGAGATTCATCCAATGAGTTCACATAAAAGGGAACCAAAACTAGTTCTATTACTACCTCAAGTTTTTCCTGGCGTTGTATGAGCTTGTCCTTTGCATGTGCAGCTGCAGCAGAGGCATCCTGCAAACATAAACTACCATGTCAAAAAGTAGATAATCCACAGGACATCAGCATTTTAACCTTTCATGTTGAATTACCCCCTTCCTATATTTAGCCTTAATTTCATCGGCTGTTCTGAGCTTTGGCTGTGAATCAGTACTTGCACCTTCAAATAATCTTTCCCTTTCTGTTCCCTTATCTGCAGAGCAAAAAGAAGAATGGTTAGCATGAATTAGCAAATCTGCCAAAGTTTAAGAAGATTCGGGGTATGCCTTTAGTATCATTCTTCTTCATTTCAGATGAAGGTGAGACAAATAGAGGTTCGTCAATATCAATGTCATCTGCACCAAACAGAAGCAGAGTCAGGAAAAAGACCAGGCAAGGAAATAGAGATTCTTAGAGCAAGGGGATACAAAACCTATGCTAAGCTCCACAACTTTTTGGTCATCCGCATGGTCGATAGAAGGCTTTAAGAAAGAAGGGCTGGAAAATATGCTCTCTAAATCAGCGAAATCATTCTTACAAACTTCAAGAAGATCTACATCGTGCTCTGCCTTGCTCCCTGGGAAACCCTTAATCAAACCACCTAAAATACCAGAGGAAGCACCCTGCAGCCACAAAAGTTATTAGCATCATGCCAAGTTTTTTTGGGGAAAAACACACAAAGTCTGAAACATAACTCCAACCTGTTTTATCTTCTGATTGGGAGATAAACTGATTGTGGCATCAGCAGCAGCTGTAAGTAGTTTATCATGAAGGCAAGGCAATGACTCTGGAATCCTAAAATTGCCAGATTTTTGTAAAATTGTAAACTATCTTTTCAATCAAGGTTCCAGGTCATAGGTAAACAGAAATAACACATCCACATATAAGGGTGTGGAAAAGAGAGAGAGACCTGAAGTGGTTTTCAGAGGCCAAAAACGATATAACAGCAAATTCACATCCATTCACCTATAAAACAAAAGAAGAAGAAGAAGAAGAAGAAGAAGAAGAAAACCACCAATCCAAGTTAGATATAAAATGCCAAAACTATGATAGAAGCTGAAAAGAGATTGGCAGGGCACAAAATATCGACATCTAACACAAAGTGAACTAAATTTTATTTTGAATCACTAAGCTTACATCATTAAAAAGTTCTAAATAGGTGAATTTATAACAGTACAATAATCATGGCAAAGTAGTCAAAAGTAAAGACCAGATGCAAGTCATATAGGATCAATAAACAAAAACAACAAACAAGTTTCAAATAATGCCCCAAAATCTGAAAACATGAAATGGACCTGCAGTATATTAGTTTGAATGTTTTTTTTTTTGTTTCCATCATCTAAGTTATCAGGAGCTGCTCCAATCAGTTTGAATGTTTGTCACTAAATCATTCAAGCCTATGTTTCCTTCCTCCTTAACCACATCAGCAACAGTCTGATCAATCTCAACTATCTCCATTGACTTAATTCGAACTTCATCTCCCAGTCCATACACTAATAAGCATTGCTCATTGCCAATATAAAGACAAGGCTTCAAGAAGGAAATCTTGAATGGTAGGAGATGAAAATATTGAGATGAAATGAAAGAATTGTGGTCAATTCTGTCTTTATTATAGGCTGGAAGAATCTGTAATTTCTAGGGGTTATGATATTCCATTTAAAAAGAAATACTCTGCTTCATCTCAAGTGTCACTCAACTCTTCTTGGGCCAGCATGAAACGCACAATCATGTTCCAGTTTGGTGAAGACCTATTCATGGCCAAGATATTAAAATAACCAAAAAATGAAATATGTCCTCGGCTAATTATTAAAACCATACCATACCTACTTCTAAACTTGTCTTCCCTGCCCATTAATGTGGTTGCTGCACCTTTCACCAGTCATTCCAAGATCTATCTCAGTTAACTTAAACCATACACATCTCATTTCAAAGCACCTAAGATTCTTCTATAGAGAAGAATATTTTGCATTTTAAACTTAATTTTCCAGGGGATTATCTCATAGTTATAGTTTCCATGGAGTCCATGCTGCCAACATTAGGTATATATCTCTCACTCTAGACCAATTGTTCATAACATGATGCCTCCTCTGACAAAGTAAAAGGACGTAGAAGAAGAGAATACTTTGCAATTCATTCCTGCAGAATGTATCAGATAGGCAAGGGTGCATCATATCAGCATCTTTCATGCAAGTGGTCAACAAACTTTCACTAGCAGATCTACCAAATCTAAGGTTCCTTTTGGCATATAACTTTTGCAAATGAATTTAGGTTATTTTTTTACTTTTTACTCAAATAAAAGTCCTAGATATATTTGGTTAGAAATATCTTTTTGACAAGAATAAAAAAGCTACAAAATTGCATTAAAATTTTGCTTTAATCATAAGTAAAATTTTTGTAACATTTAACATACTGATTCTACATCACACCTCCTCCTTGAATTTTTTTCTTTTTTTTTTCTTGGAGTCGTCTTTTTCCCAACATACTTCCAAGTTAAATTAATAGGAATATATATTGATAGGTATTTTTGCCATTGGTGATTTATGAAAGATAACATTTGAATTATGACTCAGTGAATCGTGAGAGTTTCATTCTTCAAATTTGCAGAAGATGGCAAAAGAAAAAACTATGTGATTCAAAGGTTCATAAATCAGGAATTTTTGCTGGTAATATAACACAATGAAAATATTTTCTTCGTCTGAATAAAAAGTGCAATAAAAAATCTAACCAGAATAATCTCAGCATTTTCAGATGGACATATTGTCTTCTCCATATTAGTCTTGAAGTTCCACCTTAGGATTGACATTAAAGAGCTTTCTACAACCACTTCAAGATCTGGCAAAGATCTGTCTAACATAAAATTAATTAGCTTCTACATGAAAGATTTACTAAGATTCATCAGATGATCAATTTCCACTAAATAAGAGTTATAGAAAACTTAAAAAGCAAATGAAAATTTGCAACATCAATTAAAAAAGAGAAGTACAATGAGTGCTTTACCTAATTTCAATCTCTCCGGTCTGATAGAGTAAAATGATCCCATGCTCTTTATCGTCCTTCTTGAATGGTGTACTCCAACAGCATGGTTTTATGAGATTTACCTTTCGAATAGGATCACTGTCCACCTAGAATAAGAGGGCTTTACTAAATGGAAAGTGGAGGTACGGATGGTGAAACCAAAGACTTACAGGAAAGGGCACCTCATTCAAAGAATGCAAATGCAATGCATCCTCACAACAAAACAAAAGAAGAAAATTTTCTTCTCTCTGCTTAAAGTGGGCTGCTTTAGCAGAGGTCTCGTGGTCAACTTTAAGTGGAGAACTTTCACTGCAAGAAGCAGCCGGGGCAGATTCACTTTTAGTGTCGCTTTTCTGAGATGAAACAGATAAATGTTTTCCACTACACATTTCAGAGATGTAGCTGCCACCCTCTGCTTAGAAAAAATCAGAAATTCATTCGATTTGTTGGAAGCAAAAAACACTATTCTCTGCCCAGTTGAAAAAAATACTTGCCTATAATATATATTGAAGGTGACATAAGTTCCGTTGCAGATTTTATTGATTGGGAGCAGAGAATACGACCATTGTTTCCATCCATGACAACAATACAGGCATCTTTGGTCATAGCAAACACTTTCAAACTTACATGATCTTCCACAATTGTGGATCCAGTGTCTTCTGAATTATTTATTAAGTCAATACAATTTGAAAACACAGCCAGAGACTTGACAGGCAAACTGGAACCAGATAGACTGTCTGTGAGAAATAAAACAGATGATGTAGTAGTGTCAAGCATTGCTACCTGAAACATCCAATTGAGAAATCAACTCTCAAAACTAATTAGGTTGATAATTTGGCATTTCAATTAACAAAGAGGGAAAAGACTAAGCAAATGATTCCCACCCGGGCACAATGAAATCCCACAGCAAGTCTGGTTCCAGAATTTGCAAATTGCAATGCATATATAGGAGAACTTAGGTAAGAAAATACAGCTGTACATTGAGGTCCATCCTCTTGGTCCAGAGTGTAGACTGCACAGATACTAATATGTTAAACTAAAGACTGAAAAAAAAAAAGGAACTTCAATCATTGCAAAAACAAAGATGCTGTCCATTTTCTCCAGTATTAGTAAAATAATAATCACTTTTACTCGTTAGACTATCCATTCAAACTGAAACCAGCATCTGATAAAAAGAGAATGAAAAACTCAAACCAAGCCATCTTTCTCTATGAGGATTAGCTGCATAGTGCAATTTTGTTGTAAGACCAGTTACTCGTCAGTAAAATGGAATCTTTATAAAATAAAATTCTCTGTTTCAATCTTCAGGGAAAAAACCCTACAATTATCCATGAATTCTTCAAAGAAGAAAAGTGAACTTAAAATAGAAATATGTAGCAGGGGTGGATCAACTTCTAATCAACCAAGCTGTGCTGACAGTGCAGATGAACATTTAGAATAGTGAGCAAGAAGAATAAGTCTATCTTCCAACTATCAGGGAAATAACACTTGCTTTCACTGTGAAAAGCTTATTTCAGAATGGAAATCCCAGACTTACAGGTCAAACTACAAGTTTTAGCATTTGGTCAAACTTTTTAGAACCATCTAGAGTCTAAACTAGCTTCTCTATAATGATCTAAATATTAGTAGAACCTCAACCAATTTCTAAAACCCATACATCTTAGACCTTTCTGAAATTTTTTAAACCAAATTTATAAATAAATAAATAAAATAGAGAAAGATGAAGATAAAAAGTATATATAGGATGATACCTTCTTTTTCAGTTTCAGTCACAAACTTCAAACTCATCTCATCAGCACTACATACAAGCCTATATAGACGAACCTACACGCTCTCCAAGAGAAATAGAATTACCAAAGCATTAAATTTCAGTAGTCACAAATGAATCACTGACAAAAATTCAACTCTTACCATCACCCACCAAGAGAAATAGAAATACCAAAGCATTAGATTTCAGTAGTCATAAATGAATCACTGACAAAAATTCAACTCTTACCGTACCAGACTCATTGCCAATAGCTAAACATAAGGTAGAGGAGCAAAAATCCAAAGCAGATACTGATGCATTAACATTAGCAACATTGATACCTTTGACCTGTGCATCACACAAATTTGGGGTCCTTGACTATCAATTTCAATTCAATAAGGGATGCATGTCAATGGAATTTGAAAATGAAACTCACAAAATTGTGAAAGTAATAACCTCCGGTCCTAAAACATAAATGAGTGCAAATGTTGGATAGGTGGCATCCCATATTCTTACAGTTCCATCTTGGTAGCCAGCTATATATAATCTCTCGACCTGATATTTTTCAGCATCATGAAGTTGGCTGGGAACTCCACCAGTCAAAGGGCAATTTGTATTTCCAGAAGAATGTGTTGCTTGAGGTTTTCTAGCAGAAATTGCCTAATAAAAAAAGAAAAAAAAAATTGAGAAAGAAAAATTAGTTTACCCAAGGCACAAGGATTCCAATCAGACATTTCTTGTGGAAAAGTTATTTTTTGGTTGGAACCATTTATACTCTCAACAGCTGCGCACCAAAAAGTGAAGGAAAATGGTAGAAGATTTTAAATTCGTTTTTGCATTTCCTTTTCCTGTCAAGCAAATGAAATCTACTTTATAGCCGCTGGACTGTGATTAAAAAAAAAAATACCTCAGAGAGAGCCTGTGAGAACTTGCCATCTATAAAGACCAGACCAAATTTTGCTGCAGTCAATTGTGGTTCGACAGTAGGTACAACCATGGGATACTGCATTGAAGAAACATAATTCCTTGTCTCTTGTAGGGACGTTGAGGAAGACAAGCCAGCGTCATTATAAAAGTGCAGCTGTCCTGGATTAGTTAATACCAAAGTGCCTGAAGTTCCAATCAAGCCACCACTAGGTAAAACAACCATATCAGCAAATGAACCATCAAGAGTAAGATCAACACGCCCAATGCATTTTAGACTTTCTATTCCAGAAGACCAATCAAGGCTCAAAATCTGTAGAACACAGAGATGTGTTAATATAAAGTGTGCACCATCTAGACTTAAACATTGAAAAGAAAGACTGACAGATCTATTGTTGATCTGATTATTGGATTTTTAGTCACTAAAATTCTTGTGAACTCTGATATGCCATAATGACTGGACAAAAATCTAACATACTCGTGAAAAAGGATGTATCAAGTGCTAAGCCACTTTCAGCTTGTGATTCAATGAGTTAACTTTCATTCAAAAAATAGCATTCCTCATCTCAGATATGCCTTCGGGTATTGATGATATAATAAGTAACTATTTTTTTCTCCTTCTGTGGATAAAATAAATTGCTCCTATCTCAGATTATTCATGAAATGTTTCTTAAATCCCCTGTTGGGCGAGACAGGACACCTTGATAGTTTTTCATCTATTAGTGTGAGAAATATATATACGAACAAAAAAAAAATTGTAAAAAATTAATCTTAATTTAGAAATCAAACCGTTAGAACTTCTTCAGACCCAATTGCATCACCACCATAGATAAAGAGCTGGCCACAACACTCATTATGCGGTCTGTGTGAAGACCAATGCAAAACAATGACAGGGAGTCTTCTGTCACCTGTGGATAACTGTAGCTTAACAACATCATTTGATGATTTTGCAGCATGCTTATCTGTAGCAGAAGCAGTACTTGATAGGTTCCACAACAATATATCGCCATCAACATAACCAACAGCAAGAACTGACCCATCAGTAGATGCCCAACAGAGGGCGGCTATCTCTTTCTCCAATGGCTCATAGTCTGATCTACCATCAGAAAGCTTGTGTCCTATTTCTTTGTGAGAATCAGCTGTTATTTCACATTTAAATTCAATATCTTTGTTCCCTTTAACTAGAACAACTTTATCTTCAGAGACATCCCAAAGAATCATCAACCCATCCTCATATGCAATCAACACTCTGGAACAAAACAAATTATTTGAAATGCATGAGAACAACATAAAAGAATAAGATGTGCATTATAATACAGCTACGCCATTATTTTATACAGATCTAAAACTCGTGTGATTAGACACATGCACAGAACCTCAGGAGAGAGGGAGAGTAATTTAATCTTAATAAAGCATACCCATCTCCATGACATATGGTGCAAGTGTCTGATTCTACATTTATAGAAACATGTTCCATCATATATGCTGATAAAAGCACAAGTATAATTACCAAGTCAACAAACGTTACAGATGGTCCAGAGGCTAGTGTCCAGTCCACATGCCTTTAGAAGCAAATAATTATCATTTATGATGAGAAAATAGTGAACTGCTGGTGCATGGTAGATAAATAATAAGACCATCTCAACATATTGCTATTCAAGAGAAGAAAACCTATATTTTTTAAAGAAAGGAAAGGAAAAAAAACACAAGAGGGAGGGAACTTCTAGCAAATCTTGTCTTACTTGTTTCCTTGAGAAGAAGGTTGGGGCAGAACTCCTACAACAGAGTGATTCTTAGGTGATGACATACCAGATGCATCTGGCACTAATTGGCATACATGTTAGCATAGAAATAAATAGGTAAAAGCACACAAAGTATAGAGAGATGGAGATATAAAGAAGGGAGGTCACACCAACAAAATCAGGCAAAAATTAACTAAACACCAGTCACTTTGTAGCTGTGCTCAAACATAATCATCTATCCAAAAATAAAATAATCAAAGAGTGATCCTTCAAAAAAGATAAGAGTAGCTGTAAATTAAAAATTAATGCAAAAAAGGTTTGAAAAGAATTTATTCGCCTAAACCTTATCAAACTCAATACAGAATAAGATCATTACCCTCTGCTACATCCGCAGGAACATGGTATGGCATCGGTACAAGTTTAACTTCTTCGACATCATACTTTAATACATAAACCATCCCATACTCATCTCCAATATACCTGCGGTGTTAATGGGTAGCAACAATTAAATGAAGTGCACAATATTTCACACGCCTTTGATGGAAATAAATAAATTCCAAATGGAAATGCAGTATAGTATCCCTATTTCATACATGTAACTTGAGGCAAAAATAACAGAGAATGCAGTTATATTGGAGTCCCATTGTAAAGTGGAAGCAATTTGTCTTTGCTCTAAATCCCAAACCTGCCAATATTGATAACCTTTCAATACACAAGCTATATAATTCCTGGTACTGGAGAAGATTTTAACAAGAAGATCTTGCATAGCTACAGGAGCCATACCTGAATCTCATTGTCACTTGACACGCTGACTAGGATACCTTGATTTTGTAGAAACTATCAAAAGATTAAAAAAAAGAAGTGAATCCACACATGTTCTGATATTTGATAAATAAAATAAAAAAAGGATGCCAAATAGAATGTGGAATTCGCTTTGAGCTTTAAATAATCAAGTAAGCAAATGCAACCCCCCCCACCCCCCCAAAAAAAGAAGAAGAAGAAGAATTACGAACACATCAAACAAAATGAAACGACAAGGAGAGAAAAGGGACAGAAATATGCGAACTCATCTCCAGATCTGAAATTACAAACCTCTAAGTATTTGAATGGTAATGTCTTCGGAGAAACAAGAAGTCCTTCGATGTTATCACCACCGATCACTTTTATTCTTCCATCCCTGCACCAATTAAAGAACCAAAAAAACAAAAATCATCAAGAAACCTCGTATTGATGTTTTCTAATGCCTGCACTTCAACTTTTACAGCTTCTCAGCCGATCACTGGATATCAAAAATACGGAAAATGCGAGCGATTCCATTCAATAAATCAAAACTCCCAGTTCATAAAACAGCAATAAACATACTTATTTAATAGAAAATCAATCAAGCAAGGCAGTCGCGCAATAACTGATCAATAGTCCAAAACTTGTTAGGAATTAGAAAAAGAAAATGTAGACTCACAGTGTTCCAATTGCTAAAAGGCTTTGAATGTGATCAAAAGCTAAAACAGACGCAGTGGAAGGGATTCCATAGTGTAGAGCAATCCGTGGATTTATATCTTTCAGTGTCAACCCTCCCTTTGACACATTATCCTGAAGTTCATTAAATTAGCATAAAAATGAATCATCAGTTCCATTAACCTGAATAGCTCAAAATTGAATTTGTGAGCATTCCTTTGATTGACGAGATTAATATATGAATCGAAGGATTGATTTGATAAATCAGACAGAATGTTGTTTAGAAACCGAATCTATTGAAAAAGTAATAAAAGAAATCATTACCTTCGCAGGTGGTGGTTGCGGTTGCGGTGGTGGTTGTTGCTGTGGTGAAGGTGGCTGTTGTCGTGCGGTGTTTTTTTGAAAGAGTTTGGAAAACATGGTAGATCGACGAGGGGGCTGTTCTTTCTTCGTTTCGAATTCAAATTGTCAAGCACCAACGGATAAGACGGAGACGATCAGGGGGTTTTCATCGGAATTTTTTTTTTTTAAGATGAACGGTCATGCAGAGCTGATGACGGGTTGGTTTGTTTGCTTGTTTGTTAAGCGAGGTTTTGCCACGTCGTAAACTGCACGGTGCTTTTTCTTGTGTTGAAAATATAGTTTTACATTATTATAAATTTTAATATTAAAAATAAATTTTAAAAAAATATATTATTTTAGTATATTTTAAAATAAAAAATATTTAAAAACAATTGTATTTACAATCTTAAATATTACCTTAATGATGAACTTTCTAAGCTACATTATGCGGGAAAAAAATTATATAAAATGTTCTGATTTTTTAAAAGCAAAATTCAATGTCAATGGATAATCTTACTAATTAATCATTATTTTTTTCATCACCAATTAATCATAAAATTGAATGGAAGTAGTTAAATGAAGACGAATTGTGGAGTGGAATTACTCTTCGACGATGGATCTAGATTGTGGAGTTGAAATTGCTAGACTCGACTCTGTTCTGTTTTAGGATTGGCTTCTTTCTTCTTTTTTTTTAATTGCCACCTTGGGTGCTAGAAGCTGAAGCACAGTTCAGCTGATAGCATATTGGCGAATGGCTGCTTAAAGAATAAAAAAAATGTTTTCTTGAGTCTGGGTGCCCCGATCCCAGCTGTCTCCAACATTGATCAATCCAGCCAATCTATTCAATTCTCCTAGAAACATGTGAAATAAAGGGCAAGGGTGGAGGGAGACAGTCACAAACATTGAACATCGAGATTCCACATGGATGTTTGAAAATTTTGTTTTTTTTTTTATATTAAAGTATTTATCCAAACCAATTTTATAAATTTTAAAATTTATAAAACTTTAATATATAGAAAAAGCAAACTTAAAACTTTATTAATTAAATTATACCTTTTAAAATAAAAAATAAAATTATATCTTTTATTTGGCTTGAGGTTATCACATATTTATTTTCATCATGTTTCATAATTCATAGTGTTAATTTGTTAAAAAGAAACTATTTCAAAATACCTTTTCTCTTTCTATCCTCGACCTCTTGATTTATGTGTAAATTGTTTTCCAAACAAGGACAAGAGTGATAAAGAAGAACGATAAAGTATTTTAAAATGAATGGATATAATTTTAATATACATTAAAAAAATTATCTATTATTTTTCTCTCTCCAGCATTATATAAATTGTTGAACTCGAGGCTAATGCTAATATTTAAAAAACTATCGAGAAACAAAATATCTATTGATTTAAAATACCATCACCTTGCATGTTTCAAGAAACGTAACAAGCTTTCTGAAATGAAGAAGAAAAAAAAGAAGGGATGTTAATGATCTTGTGATATTAATTTCATATTTGATTTTATATTTTATTTTTTATACATTTTTAGATCATTTTGATATATTAATATTAAAAATAATTTTAAAAAAATATTATTTTAATATATTTATAAATAAAAAATATTTTAAAAAATAATCCTACCGTATTCCAATATTATTCTAAATCATCAATTAAAGTAACAAATTTTTTGGAGGTAATAATCAGCTTCAAAATATTCCAATTCGGGACTAATTTCGTAGACGACGCTGTCGGACTTCGCTTTGGATGTTGATGTGATGACGATGATATTTGTCGTGGTTGCTGGACGAGTTATTCATGAAGGACAGCTGTGCCTTCCATCCTCGTTAGCCCACCAATGCTCCGCCAGATACGTTGGCAATGTTCTTCCGAGCACCCTCTCCGCGAACAAAACCATAGTGAAAATTTCAAGACCAAGATTAGAGTTTTCAGGAACTCTCCGTTCAGATTTCGTACGAGCTTCCTTCTCGAAACGCCTGTCCCTGCCTGCTTTAGCGGGATCGCTAGTATCTCTACATATGCACCTTCGTTTTCCTTGCCTCAGCCCAAAAAAAAAAACACAAAAACAATAATCTGATTATCAAATATAATTAATAACGTGCATACGAGAAGAAACGACAAATACGTTCTTCTCGATCCTTTGATATGCATGCCCAGTTATCATAAAGTCAACCGATCATCAATAAGTTGCTGTCGTCGGGAAATCAGCAAATGATAATTATACAGGTGAGGAAAATGTTCTATAAACATGTAGAAAATAGTAACTTATAATCACAACGAAATATATATACATATACTATTTCAGTAAGCATGTATCAAGTTTGCAATTGATATTAAAATAAGGTTGTAGCAGCATGCATACTAATTATAGAATATATCTTTGTGTAAATTAAAACAAAACCAAAGAATATGTACTTTATTTATTGATACATTTTAATTTTGATGAGGAACACTCCGCAAGAATTAAAAAAAAAAAAACTGACTATAAATTAAGCATAACAAGCGCTTGTAGAGAGCCAAATCAGGAATCATCATTAATTTAATTAATCTTCCGCAAAAGGGTGGCGGCTCCTGATACGTCCAAGTCTCTCTTCCAAGAAAAAATCCATTTTTTATTTTTACTGTGATTTATCTATATTGGATTGGGCGAGGACCTTGCAAGGACCATTCTATTTGGCGCGTGCGCTTTGAATTTCTTTGGCGGTTCTATGTTTACCCTCCACGTGGGAGAGGTCTGTCTTTTCCATTGTTTTAGGGGAATTTCTTTCCTCATGACGGTAGCAAGCAGACTAATGATAGTGCAGTCAAAATGGGCGTGGCCGAGACATCAGAAAAGGCCACGCCACGGCCCACGATTCGGTGTCTCTTCTGCAATATCAATGCAGTCGATTCATCTGGAAATGCGGTGGGAAATATTATACAGTTGATTTATTGATAATGAAACTTTACATACTAGCATGTCTCTTTGTCGTCGGCACTCGAGTACTATATATTATGGTATTTATGACACACATATGGTACGTTTCAATAAACAAACAGCAGAGAATAGTTTAGTGTACCCGTGTAACCCGAACCTGCTACCACCAGAGGCCCGCAGCTCTCCGCGCAACAAGCCAACAGCCTGCCACCACTTATAAAAAAAGATCACGGGTTTGTTGGAGTGATAAAACGATGGCTGTCAGCCATTTCACGAGGAGTGATGGGTAGAGAGAGATATGAGTCGTGATTGGGTTTCATTTTTTCTCTTTGAAACGATTCAATGAAAATCCAATTGAAGACTTATCTCGCACCCCCCTTGAATGTGATTGGGTTTCATTTTTCAAACATGGGATGTGATGGGCAAATTAAACATTTGGCTAAGGCAGTATGTCACAAGATCGAACCTAATTTTTGACTAGTTTCATGCAGCTAAGTTTATATAAGCTTTATTATTATTATTGTTGTTGTTATTATATGCCAATGTCACGAATTAAACGCAGCACATCCAAATATGTACGCCTCCGTTTAATTAATCAGACCAAAAACATAAATAGGACCCATATCCAACATGTTATGTCAATATCGATCTGCTCTCTTTTCAAGCCATGTCCCGTGCACACAGTCAAAACGCCATTAAAAAATATTAAAGAGTCATTGATCCTGCATTGTATCACCATCAGCTTCTCGAATTAATTAACATTCTATGTTCCACACACGCAAGACCACAAAAAACCTTGACACACAGGCGTGGCATGCAACCAACATCCATATATAAACAAACAACACATCTGGACATCATTCGAATATTTATCTTCTGTTCTCCATATCATGACCTCCTCAGCTCAAGAGCAAACAAAACATCTGTCAAAAATGGACAGCACGACAGCAGCCCCGCCACCAACGCCATCAGCGCAGCCGAACAGCCAACTTGCCTCTTCAGCAGCATCTGCCGATACTCTCTCCCGTCTCCTCCACCGCCTCCCCCCTACTCTCTTCCTCCCCACTCGCCGTTCCACTCCTGCCACGCCTTTCCCTCTCATCTCTCTCTCTGACCCGAACCTTCAAGACCTTCTATTCTCTGCATCCTCTCAACGCGGTTACTTTCAACTCACAAACCACAACATACCTTCCCAACTCGCTACCTCAGCGGAGTTGGAATCTGTTTCTCTCTTTGATCTCCCTAAAGATAAAAAAGAATCGTACTTTCCTAAAAACTGGCCTCTGGGTTTCGAAGGCGATGAAGATGGAAACGGCGAGTCGTTTTGGTTGGACGCTGAGTGTTCCACTGTTTCAACTGAGCTGGTTTTAGCTTCCCTGCGCGAGCTAACTCGGGCTCTAGAGAAAGTGGGGTTAGAGGTAATTCAAATGCTTTCAAATGGAGCGGGGTTCGAGAATCCGCTAAAGGAGGATCCGGCCCGAAGTTGTTCATTGTTATGTTTACATGGTGGTTTGGATAGGAATGATGACAAACCTGGTCTGTCGGGTGGGTCTTATCCTTACATAGTCGGGTTGCAGTATCAAATTCGGTGCCAGAAGTATTCCCTGCTGACGGATTCGGGTTGGGTTACTGTGCTGCCACAGGTGGACTCAATTATGGTTACGGTCGGCGACATTGCTCAGGTGAGCTTTAATTAACCTCCTTATATACATTCTAGATTAGCAGCAGTGGTTCAGAAATTTTAGGTGGTTTGTTACTGGTTACATTTGTTTTGAGGTCCAAATTATGGGTCGGGTTATCTTTGAGGATGCCCCAAGTAAATGGTCCTAGTGCTCCATACTTTATAAGTTAAAGCAAGCTCAAAGTTAAAACAAACAGATGGCTCAAACTTTTGGGTAACTCCTTCATCATTAAACATGTAATTTTGAATTTCTGTGCCAATGATGGAGTTACTGGGACCAATTACTCCAAGCTACTTTAATGCATGAAAAATATAAATTTTAGGAGGCAGCACAGAGCTACACCTACATGCTGACTGGCTTGTGGGGCAGGAGTTTATGACAAGAACACGTTACTAAAGGCTTCGACGACTCAAGAAAACAAAATGTCATGGCCCATGGGATGGGTTGGAATGGACCAGCTTGAGCTCCTCACAGAGGCCGCTCAATGCAAATATAAATGTTTATTTAAATTTTTAATGTGATCTATTTAATTCATTTTTATAATATATGAACTATTTAATGAATGTCAGATTTTTTCGCAACTTCTATTTTTTTTTAAATCATTTCACAATAGTTTTAATTAAATATATATATTTTTTAAA